TTTCCATTGATTATGTAAAGTCAGAGTTGAATTTGGCCGATCCTCTGACTAAACCCGTAGGAAGAAAATTGATTCTTCAAACTACAAAAGAAATGGGACTTCGACCAACAAGTTGTCAATAGAGACAGTAACCCAACCTATGTGATTGGTGATCCCATGAAGTAGGTTCATATGGGTAATAACAAGTCAATATTGATGGTAAAGCACTTCAATTTAAGTCCCTCCAGAGATAAGTGCTTTGAGTAATTGTGAGGATGAGTTAAAACTCTTAATGAATTCATATCCCATTAGGGAGGTGTAGTTAAAGCAATACACACTTGATGAATTCACCTATATGAGAGTGGAGTGGGGCCGCTCCTATAAGATTCATTGGTCAAATCTTTAGAGCTCTCATGAATAATCAGGCAGGCGCACGGCCAAAAAGCGCAAAATCGCGTTAACAGCAAATTATGGGTTGTAATGTGATTGATAAAATCTCTGTCATACATCAAGAGTTATTGGTTCATAGAAATTTATATTTCACCAATAATTCTGTAGATCATGTTTTATCAATCTATGTTTGGTTCATAGTCCAAAAGACACCAATCTAATTACATTTCAACCAAATCCAGCAGAGTACGTTTAAAATTCTTCCTTTATCCAAAGAATTTTTTGAAATAGGAGGGAGATTGTTGTAAAATATATAGTATTTCAAAATATTCTTTGTCCCACATCGAAAAATGAGAAGTATTATTTTCTTTGTCCCACATTGAGAAGTGAGAAGAGTTGCAGTCTTTTGTCCCACATCGGAAGTGGGAAGGGTTGCACCTCACTCTAAAATCTATAAATAGGATCCATTCTCTCCTCAGAAAATCACCCCAGCAGCTTCAGTTGATATCTTTTGATAGCTGCTCTCTCTCTCTCTTTCTCTCTTTTATTTTTTGTTAGTTGATATCCTATTGATAATTCTGTTCTCATCTTCTTGTCTTTTATATATATCTGCTGGTTTTAATTTGCTAGTTCTAGTCCTTCTAGTTTGCAACAAGAAAAATCTTGTCTTTCTTGTTAGCAACAATTAGAAGAAGGCTTGTTAAATCTTGGGGAAACATTTCAATTTCATGAAATAGTTTCTTAGGACAGTGCTACGCACGACTCAAGCAGATAGTGTTAACATTGTTGTAGCTATTTATCCAACAGATATAACTATGTAACGAAGGGAATAAAGCCCGTTGCATGAAATAACCAAATAACACACTACTGGTAGCAAAGATACAAAAGGCATTTGGAAGAACTTTAAAATAACAAACGTGTTAAAAAAGCCAGTAAAAAAAAACAATATACCTCCATTAATTGATCGTCAAGGCACAGAGCACTGAATCAAACTTCCTCGAAGGCTAGATAATAGCAGATCTCAAGTCAGTAAACACAGATATTTTGATCAATAAACAAATCAATGGAACAGAACATCAGAATGATGTCAGAAGAGAGTAAGGAAAAAATTATCGAAGAAATAATAATAATAATAACATTAGGTACCTGGTGTATGAGCACAACAATTGACAAGAAGATTTACATGCAATCTGGGAGGTCGAGCATATAACAGAGCTTGCATGGACATGGAGACCATGTATGTCTTACAAGTCAATCAAAAGAATGAAAAATTACAAACGTAACCAAGCTGTAAGATGGCCTGGTCCACAAGACAAGAGAAGCATCTTGGAGGACAATTTGGTAAACAAGAAAATTTAATGGCCGACAGCTAATTAATCAATTCCAAGCGCAAAGTCCCTTGCGTCCTTGGTCACATCGGCAGTGCGATACTAAGGAGATAGATAGCAAGGCTTGCAGCGTAAATTCCAAAAAGCAGTTCACTCCAGATGATGCATATCGATTGAGATAATCACAATTATCTGTGTACTTATCGATACACATATATGTAATATATAATATATAATATACACTTGAAAAATATGAACAAAGGACTATATACAAGATCTCTGTTATAAACAGAAATTTATATATGTAATACTCATTGTTATATAGTTATATAAAAAATGTGGAGAAAAGACTATATACAGAATTTCAGAAGAATAAGCATCTTTACAAAAATAAAAAGCAAATGTATATATTTATATATATATCTTTACTTATAAAAATATGAAGAAAGGACTATATACAAATTTTTTTTTTTTTTAAAAAAAGCACATGATTGATCCCTTTGATAAAAAGAAACAAATTTATATATACGTAGATACACACACACACACACACATATATATATATATATATATATATATAGCTTAGATTACACTGGTTAACACAAACAAACTCTACATAATTTTTAACTGTATAATCTAATTAAATTATATGACTTAATTATGCAGTTTGTAACCTTGAAATTGTGCAGTTGGCTGGAAATTTCTTTTGTATACGCATGAGGGATGAACACGAAATTCTAATTCCTAATTACAATTTCATTAAATCACAATGAAGAATTATACACATAGCGTACATAACGAAACTTCTTAGGAGCCGAGGGTAATATACAAATAACGAATTTCGTGGGCAATTTCATATATGTCGGACCCTACAGCGGCAGCAGCACAAAACACACTCCAAATTCGGTCCATTTCAATGTCCACTTGAAAGTACAAGAGTCTTAAAGCAGGGAGAAGCACTCAAAAGTACAAATCCATGGAAGCGGAGTGGCACTTGAAAGCGGCACCACTGTAGAATGCTTCTTGTGTATGTATATGTAAGGATTTGTGATCAACCAGGAGGATTAAATTTGTGTGTTTGGGGAACTTTGATGGATGAAATCAAGGCTTTGTTTAATGATTTTTTTTTTTTTTTTTTTGGAGAATGTTCCCTCAAAAAAATGATTATTGCAGAATAAGACCTGATGTGGGCTCAGAATTTGCTCAAAGGGCTACAAATGTAGCATATTTGGGAGGGTGGGCTATTATGTTTCAGCCTTTTCTTCTTTCTTTTAAGCAAATTTGGGTGGCAGGCAATAAGGTGGCTCGTGAATTTTTCTCAAAGGGCTACAAATGTTAACAAACATGGGAGAGTGGAATCAGGTTTCAACTCATTTTCTCTATTTTTTTTTTCTCTTTGTGGGAAAAGAAAACGTATTAAGTTTCTGATTTGTGAAGTATTTAATTTGTCACATAAAAATTTAGAAATTTATTTTGAAAAATTGGTGGATCAAAAGCTTTTTTCTATGTCCTCATTTCTGCCTACAAGTTTTCAACTAACTTTAAGTCTGCAAATTGGCTGTCCTTCAAGGCTCCTTTTTTTTTTTTTTTTTTTTTGGCTAAAATATTTTATGTACACCAACAGAAGCAACAAAAGAGTAAGGCAAGTCTGGCCCTTCGACTTTATGGATGTCCATCATTTGACATAACAGCTGCATGCAACAAGGTCCCATTCTTTTATAATATAAGTTGGATATTTTTAAGCTTAAGTGACTATGCAGGTGCATGCATTTCTCTGCCAACCCAACCACAAATAATAAATTATATGTGAAAATTTCAAACCTCTACCAATTTACATTTTTTTTATTACCACCTATCCAAATATTTCAAATAACCTTCTATCCAAACTGTGATTTTGAGCGTTAAATGCTTGTGTGTGTCTGTGTATCTAAATTGTTATGTTTATCACTTGAAATTTAAAAAAAAAAAAAAAATCACTGCCTTTGGATAGAAGATTATTTGGGATAATTTTTTTAAAAAATACTATAACACTTCTTTGATATGATGTATGTGAAATAAAAAGATAATTGAAAAATATTTTGATGATACAAGTAAATCACTATGTGTAAATATAATATAAATAAAATGCATTCCAAACACGCCTAAGTATGTGTAAGATTAGGGTTTTATGTAACTCATTTCAAAGATAAGTGAAATAGAATAATGTTAGATTTTGGAGAATAATGGTTGACAATTTTGCAATTTTCAAATAACATTCTTGTTCTTCTTCTTTTTCTTCTCAACTACGAGCCACAAAGATAAGATTGAGACCCTAAAGTTTGGGTTAGGCAGGTCTCAAGAAAATGTTTAACCTATTCTTCTAGTAAAAAAAAAAACAAAAGGGTTAACCTACTAAATTCACAATTGAATTCTTGGACATGAATCATAATAGAAGAGAAAGCTTCTGACACTTGGAAAATCCTCACCCCAAAATTACCCATAACGTTCCATTTCTCCACGTATCTCCCTAGGAATGTCACGAATTGCTTGGTCAAGAAAAGATTGCAAGTCTCTATCTAAATCCTTTTTCTAGCATGCCTGCAGCAATTTCAAAGGAAAACTCCAATTTGTTGTGTTGAGCCCGCCATGATAATGTTAAGAATGCTTTAACAACTAGATTGCCCCTTAAGTTCACATGATCTAGAAGGTTTACAACTGTCCTTGCAACGTTTAGGTTTATGTAATCTTAGAAAATCAAGTCTGAAAACGAGTCATAGTCATTTGGTGTCGACATGATTATATCAATACACAAATGAAATGGTCATAGTTAGAGCCAAACAAATTTAAATTCTAGTGAAAGTGGATAATTCCGGCTGATATTTAAACTCAAGATCTGTAATTTCTGAAATGTCAACCTTTTTTACTAAATCAAGACCTGTTCGATATTTTATTTCAAAACTATTTGATACGATATCATTATACTTCTAATATGTTTTAGATCATTAAAGTATATGTGTCTATTGTATACACTACTTATTCACATATACATACAAAAAGTGCATTTAGAATTGCACAAGAACTCACAATCCCACAACAAATATTTTGTTGATGAAAATTATGCATCCCAACATAAACAATTGATAAATTTTATTTCTCTTTTCTTTTTCCTTCTTCCCCTGAAAAAATAAAAAATTTAGAGACAAATTTGTTGGAGGGCCCCCATTACCTCTATGATACACTCAATAGTCAACAAAAGATCCAACCCTACAAGTCACCAACCACAGTCACACACATGCATGTACATACTTAAATTTAACCAAAGCCGTACCAGACAAAGAAACATTAAAATTTGCCAGAGTCATTTCATAACCTCATCAAAACTTTCCAACATCTCTCAAAAGCAAAACAAGAAGCAACATAAACATGGGAGCTCTTTCTCAATTCTTAGCTCACCTTTACACCATAGTCACTGTCTTGTTCACCATTTTAATCCTAGAATTAGTAATCCTGGTAAGATCCATCACAGGTAACATCCAAGAATCCAAGAAGAAGGCCATAACCACCAAGCAATACCTCAAATTAATTGAAGAAAAAATCCCGGCTCGCCGGTACAAAAAAACCCGGTTCATCATGGACGATTCCATTGAATGTGCAGTTTGTTTGTCCTTGTTTGAAGAAGGAGAATTCGTCAGGAAGCTGAACTGTAAGCATATTTTCCACAAGGATTGTTTGGACCGGTGGCTACAGCAAGATTGGGCAACATGTCCTCTTTGCCGGACAACAGTCTTGCCTGAAGAAATCATGATGAAATATAGACAGTTCTTGCATCGACAGGAGTATGAAGGAAGTGATGAAGACCTGATTTTCTTGATATCTGCATTACATGGTAATTATCTACGCAGGTTTTTGTAGCTCTACTCTACAGATTTTTGTATATAAGAAGAAAGAAGAATTTGGTATAGATCAGTACTGTCTTTTGAGGTATGTATCTAATAAGTTTTACTACTACTTGAAAGAAAGTTTGGTAAAAATTTCTTATGCAACATGACGAATAGATGGGTAGATTTGGTTCTTAATCTTACAGCCAGAATTTTTCTGACTAATTTACCTGAATATCAGTAGAATTTGGGAGACTTATTAGTTCTGATTTAGTTCTTTTAAGTCCTGTTTTATTTTTTATTTTTTATTTTTTATCTTTGCTAGTTTGAAAAAATTATTTAGTTGGAAAATTGAATCCAATGTAACATTTCATCCACACTGTTTGTAGGGCCTGTGGAATCTTTTCTTGTCAATATGCTCCATTAAATCAACTCATATGAGAAATCGACTGTGGTTAAAAAATTTTTACTATAACAATTGGCTTCTTTTTTTTTTTTTTCTTTGGCATGAAAAATGAAGAGGCAGCAGTAACCACGTAAATACCTTTTTTAACATCCCCATCATTTGGGGTACAAAATTTTGTTTGCAGCTTTCATGATTGAAACATTTCTAGGTTTATGAAACCAAATAAGTACCTTATCTGAGCATTTCTATGCATGTGCTGAATGTGAACCAAGCTAATTAATTCGCCATTTCTTTTCCAAAAAGAGGAAAAAGAAAAAGTTTCTTTCCTGAAAGCAGCATGCTGAATGAATATCTCCACAGAGATCTTATCACATGTCTCAGCAAAAGAGGGCATTAGGATTATATTCCCTGTCCCATCTCTTTTCTGAGTTTTTTCTTTCTCTGCTAGATTTGAATTCTTTTGTGACATTATTAATTATTAGTATGAAACAGTTTAGGTGTACCATCATATATGTGACGAGAAAATAGAGAATGAATTATGAGTTTTGGTACGTTAAGAGGCGTTTCAGATGTTAATTTTTTGAAAAATTTATTATTAATTTGAAAAAGTATCTAAATACAGGAATATACTATATGTAAGTAGGTGCATCAATGTGATTAATTTTGTATAAATTGAGTATATTAATGATAGACGCTCTTAAAATGTTTATGAATTTTTTAACAGGTGCTTTATAGGTACTCGTTAATACACTTACATTTCACCTAACTTATCTTTTATATATATATATATATATATATATATATATATATATATATATATATATGTATGTATATACACACTAATAATTACTACCTACATTTATGCACTTTTCTTAATTAATCTCCTTGCATTTATACGCTTCTTCTAACAAATCTTATATTTTTAAAAATATAACACCTAAAATACAACTTAACAAGTGTTCATAAGGCATCCGTCAGATAGACCGAACTTTGATTTATAACAGAAGAATTCAGAACTGCATGGCATTTATGTTAAAAAAAATACTGCTTTTAGTGGTAACCTACCAAATTCCTACCAAAATTAGGTTGACAAATTCTTCGCGTGGAATTTTGTTTATAGATATGCATATTGCGTCCGCTATGATGTCGGCTACCATCCTACAATTCGGTCGCCTAGATTTATGCCATCCACATGCCATACCCTAATTTTCCTTGCTTGGAACCAACCAGTAAATGCTTATATTAAAAAGGGGGCAAGCATAAAATTTGGTAGATGAAAATGTTGGGTTGGAAATTGTTAAATGTTCTTTCTTTTATTTGATATTCTCAGGGCACTAAATGACAAGAATTTGAGTCCATTATTATTCCTGTTATTAGTAGTAAGTTTACAAACAACTCACAATGGTAGGGATAATACAGCTGATGAACTGATCCATAAATGGTGGAAATTACAACTGAAACTCAACAATAGAATAAATAAACTTACAAATAGTAGGAGTAGAAACTCACCTATAGTTAGATTTGAATAAAGAACTTCTAATTTTTGGAGTTTTATCACTGATCACTAGGTCAGATTAAAAGTTTAAAATTATCAATCACTCTTAAATCGCAATCTTTGCACCCAAAAAAAAAAAAAAAAAACCAGGCTGATTCCTTACACAAATTTTTTTTTCCAAAAAAAAAAAAAAACCAATTGCTAATTGGGAAAAAGTTAAATTGGTTATTATGATCTAAACAGGGACCAATTAGAAATCAATGGTGTAATCAATTTCTGCGGTTTTAATTTGTGTATCAAAGAACCCTGGTCAATCACGTATTAGCTTAAGAAATTTTTATCATTTTGGAGGTGTATTAGTTAGAGATTTAATATGGCCCATGCCACTTGATTTTCCTCCAACAAGTGTATCAAAATCAATTGGACTGATTAAAGAATTGGAGAAGCTTCTTTCTCCTTTATATCTATCTATAGCACATTCCTGCCAACAAAGTTGTTATCATATCTTGTAAATCCCAATTTTCAGGATATGCAATAGATTCTAAAGTTACCTTAAGATTGAAAATAACTCGAAAGTAAATTGTTGATCAAAGCTTTATTTTATTTTGGATAATTTCACTTGTTTTTGTTCTTTCTGATTTTATTTCTTTCAAAATTGGATGCGTCTTTTACCTGAACATACCAAAATCCAGAAAGAGAAAACAAGAGATAATGTGGTATGGAATTTTAGAATTCCCAAAAGGAATTGTAAAGAGAAGGGACCAAGAAGAAGAAGAAGAAGAAAAGAAAAAAGAGGCAATTAAAGGAATCCGGTCTATTGCTGACAATGAAAGAATTGATTGGTGCAAATGCAAATCAATAATTGTACTTTTCCTCTTTTTTTTTTTCTTTTTTTTGTGGGTTGAAAGCAAAGCAACATCTTCTTCTTTTGGCCATTTTTTTAAATTGATGAGCAGTAGCTGTTATGTAATTAATGAAGTTGTTATATCCAAAAAAAATCTGAATCATTACACTCGTAGTCGTCATTGTTGAATTTGCCAGAAAGATGAAAAAGAACAGGGCATTAATGTTGAAAATGAGAGGTGGATGAACCCACCAATTAAGAACCTCCGAGTTTCATCTTTCACCCATTTAATCTATTGCTGGGGTCAGCCCAGAGCTCAAGGGAGGACTTCAGGTTCAGGGGTAGGGCAGCAGTGGAGATTACTCGAGCTCGACTCGAGGCAAATATAACTAAGCTCGAGCTCGTCAAACTTTTAAAATTCGAGCTCGAGCTCAAGTTCGACATTAATTTATGGAACTCGAGCTCGAGTTTAATTAAATGTAATTAATTCAAATCAAGTTCAATCGAGCTTAGTCAAGCTCAATCAAGTCTAATCAAGCTCAAGTAATAAAATTTAATATTTTCTATATAATTTTAAATAAAGGATATTATTGACATTTCACAATAATAAAAATTAAAATATATATTATAAAAAACTCGATAGAGCTCGTCGAACTCTCGAATATCATATTTTCAAGATCAAGCTCGACTCGATAGCTCTAACGAGCAGCTCAAGATCGAGCTTGGTCAACCGAGCTCGAGCTCAAGCTGCTGACCAAGTAGCTCGCAAGCTCAAGCCGAGCTACTTGGTTCAGCTCCACCCCTATTCAGGGGTTATTCTTGCATGTGATGGTTGGGAATAAGAGGGGTGGGGAGACATGTGACGACCCCACCTCCCCCTAGGGCGTACCTCAGGGTTCGGCGGGTCGCCTGCCCAACTCTCGTCGGGACTCACTTACTTACTACATTTCTCAAGTAAATTACAAGGTACAACTCGAATAATACATCCAATTCTCCAAAAATTACATATCATAAGCGAAGCGGAAACTAGTTCTAAGCGTAGAATGTAGATATACATCCGATTCAATTCCAAATATTTATACAGGCCCAAAAGTACACAAACCAAAACCAAATCTAAACTATACAAGATGTACGCCATCCAGCCACACAGAGATCCAAATACAAGTTCTTCCTTTACTTCGATCCCTGTAGGGAGAAGAAGATAATAGGGGCTGAGTTAGAAGCTCAGGGAGTGACCAGTAAATCAACAACCAAGTATATTTCACAATAAAGCATTGATATGATGTCATGATGCAGTAATCAAATGTTCATTTATTACTCACGAGAGCCAGTGAAGTTCTTGTACTCAAATATCCAATGTTCGTTTAGATCAGGTAACCGTGAAACAAAAGTAAGGAGCCATCGTGCTCCAAAGAATGTGTAAACAGTAGTGGAGACATTGGTTCTAGGCACAAGACTTTCCAAGAACTCATTGGAGCCAAATTATGTCATGGCACACACCCGAACCCAAATGATATGCAATGGAGTAATAAATGCCAGAATTAGTTTAAAAGTAACTTTGGAAATAGTCGAGGGATCACTCACCCAAAATATAGTGCTTCAAGTATTCACGTTCAATTATACTCCAGACTTGGAGTCCAGATCTCAAAAAGAAGGCTTGCAAGAGTGATCCTCCACTATTTCTTGAAATTTTTGGTTCTCTTAGCTTCCCAAGCTTCCAAACTTACGATCAATCGGTTTAGAATTCGATTTTAGCACTTGGTTGGTGTAAATCAAGAAGAAAATGGTGCAACTCTTGCTCCCCCTTTCTCTCTCTCCTTACTCGGCCAAGATGCAGAAAATAATGAAGGAGATTAAGCTAAGTTTGTCTTATAAGAAGGTAGAAAGATAAGAATTAATTCTAACCACAAGTTTGGCCAACACTTGGCTTAACCTCAACCACAAAAATTTTCTCTTTCCTTCATTGCATTTGAGCCACAAATTTCGGTCAAGTTTAGCTGTAAATTAGGAGATATTTTGCTCAAATATCAATAAACTTGTATGGTAAGAAAGTGGTGGTCAAGTGGTGCCTTCAATCGGTAGTGCGCGGGACCCGCCAGTTCGCGCCATTTTTCTTAAAAACACACGTACTTGGGTTTTTACTTCCTATTCACTAACCTTGTATTATTGCTTCTAATCACATATTATTTCTCACTTAAAAGTCATTTTTAATCACCAAATTTGATCCTTATTCCGTACCAAAAATTCATCCGGCGAAAATCGCGAAAATCCTAATTTTGCTCCAATCTTGAATCCAAAAGTAAAACCCTACTTTCTAGGTTCATTGGCACTTATTATGGGGTGATTGAGTAGTAGGGCCATTATAAAGTGGTATTTGCCAAAGAAAAGGGAATTTTTAAGAAAAATATAAGGAATTTGCATGGCTTCTGGCCGGATTCTCCACAAAACACTATTCACCAGAAATTTTTCCCTTTTCTTCTGCCTCGGGGCGTCACAAGATAGGATA